CGTGTTTGTTTTTGTTAGTTGCAGGATCACCGGAATGCCCCCTCCCCAGGGTCAACCCTATCGTTGTTACTTTTTGAAAATTTTTACGACCCCCCTCCCCCAAGGTGGATTTGATACGACCCCCTTTTCCACACCTCGACCACCATCATCGTCTCTGATACCACTCAACCCCCACCAAACTCCGCCCACTTTTTCCTCCAAAAATGCCGTCGAGCGGGGGGTATATACGCGCGCTGAAACGGCAACTTTTTTCCTACGCCCCTCAACAGTTTCATACGACCCCCCGTTGTTACTAGTAACAACATAGGGTTGACCTGCCCTCCCCTCCCCGCTCCCACACCTCTGAAACAGCTCCCCCATTTTCTTCACACTTTGTGGCGCGGCCGCGGCGAGCGCGGCCAAGTCGATGCGGGTAAGTTTGAAAGCGCTCCATCAACACCGTTCGCAGGCACCACCAACCCGCCGCTCCCTCTAACAAGTACTATAGCCTAGTGTTTGATGTCATCTCTCTTTAATTAAGCGCTGCAAAGTACTTAAGCCCCATCTAGTGTATAATCCTTCTCTCCTGTATGTGAACACATGAAATCACTGTTTATTGTAATGTCCTTGGAATGAATGCACTGAAACTTATTATTCTTCATATACAAAGTTGTGAACGATTTCTTTTCTGAGCTTCTTCAATGTACTGTTTTATTTTGTCACATTGAAGACACCTATTTGTTATTCCCTCGATATCTCGCCTGTCATCAAAATTCATGCTTTGGTGTTAATCTCTCTGCCTCTACTCATAAGGAAGTCGTGTACAGACTTGGATACCGTCCGTATACCTCGTGCGCATAACAACCACGATTATCGACGGGCGTTTGAACTTTCACTGGTCTTTTAATTCAAATTTGGCGCCAGAATTCAAGAAGCATAACTTGCGCCCTTCTTTTTCTTTATTATATTTCTAATCCTTAGCCTGGTGTTCACACTTTTGTGTCTGAGGCATCATCTATCTATCACTCGTTTTCTAGTGTCGTGGACCATTTTTTACGAGGAAGCGTGTGAAATAGGCATGAATGTTTTTCTAGGGAAGTTTCGGGTTCCTCGGATTTTAATTGTAAAAAAAAAATAGAATGCCATGCCACCTTGCCCCTTATATTCAATTTATTTTGCGTTCATGGGTACCTAGTTCATTTTGAAATAATATCAGTTTCATTGTCAATTATCAGAAAAATGAACAAACCTATTAATTTAAGGGGTTTTTTCTTCGCTTTGTTCGGGCCGAGTCGAAAAGTATTAGGAAGGTAATTATGCTGTATTTAGCCAGGGCAATGGACACAGTCGGGATTTCATCAGTACATGTTGGCACCACAATATCGTCGCTCCGTAGCAGTGAGTAATTTTTATAAATTTTGTTACATTATTTATTTTATTTGTTTTTATTTGCTGTGGTTATTAAGATATGATCTTATAATACTTTTTCTTTACATTTTGTTCTAATTGATGTATCGCAATTGCTTAGGACTGCTATGATCGGCATCGCCCCAACATGCCGAATACAGCTCGTCCTCCACCGAGCATGAAAACAGATAACAGCGATAACACATTTCACGGTCAGTGTAAATTGTAGTGTCTGTTGTTGAAGGAACGAGTGGTCAGTTTTTTCAGCAAGTTTATCCATGCTAGAAAATCCAACACAAAATTCTGCTGCTGCATACACTGCTAGTTGGGTTAGCAGTACCTCCAGCATTCCACCTGAGCTGAGAGATGAACCTGAGGTGAATTTACTGTTTTATGAACACTGATTTTTGAGAATAAAAAAACGCTTATAATTAAGGTACCGTCGTTCAATGGTTCAGCACATAGTGGATGCGTGAGTTTTACTTTATTTGTTTTTTGCTTTTTGCTCATACAGTTTGCTTTTCGCGATCCAATCGTGTATAATAGGATACAACTGAAATGAGGTCGTGTTGAATGTTGCGGTGGGGATGGGACCATCGACCCGCGATGCTAAATGTTAGGGATGGGCTGGGGCTTCGTCAGGGTTTCGTCGTAGGTCTCACCGACCGGCCACTGGCCGGTCAGTGAGATTTTGTTTCCATTCTTTGGCTTCTTTAGACTGTAGATCCGTTCACATACACAGTGCAACAGTTATGTTATCGCGCAGTCTGTTTTGGATGTACTAGATTGTAGAATCGTTCGCATTCGTCTAGCTATATGCTATGATCGTGTCAGTCTATTCATTCAGTAGTTCAGATTGCGGTTCGCGTTCTTCAATACTTTGTGCCATATTTGTATTGGCAATATGTACATGAACGGTCTACAGTATAAAGCAGTAAAAGGATGAAAACAGGACCGCGCAATCAAAGAGCCAACAGTGGCCGGTGGGTTCCCGCTCGAAACCGTGATGGGGTTTGCCCAACATGGCGGGTCGAGGACCTCATTCCCTCCCCAACATTCAGCATCCGATCATTGTGGACCACATTTATCTTACGGTTCACGGTAAGCAGCGCATGCAACTACGTCCCACTCGCCATGATACGCTTTCTTGAGCCGTATGCTGTCCTGCCCACGGAGAACACGTCTCCCTCCCCGAATACTACCTTGAAGCTGTCATAAAACACCATACCTTTGCGTTTCTACCTTCCTTACTGAGAGCAGTGCTACTCAAAGAATTAATTGGTTGAAAGCTGGTTTCATAGCGAAACCCTTTACCACTCTTCTGGGCCCTTTAGCACTTTTCTAGGCGGAGGAAGGATAGCATCGGGAAAGGGGTCCCTCCTGGGGGGTTACAAGGCTTCTGTCAACCAAAGGGTGAGAGCGTAGCTGGAAAAGCACACACTTTGTGTCTTATTGGGACTAAGCCTTTTGAAGAGATAAAGAAAGAGGAGATGCTGTGATAGTGTGCACTTGTGAGAGCTCCCAGACATCACTACAAAACGCTGAACCGCCAAGCTTCACGGTTGACAGATGTCCTGAGACCCTCCTCGGGAGGCTGGCTCATGGCCCTGTATTCCATTCTAACCTGTGGGGGCGGCATGGTGGCGCAGAGCACGCAAGGTATTCAAAATCACGAGGGAACATTTTTATTTTTATACTTGCTTAGTCACCTTATGGTTCGCCTAACTCAGCTCTTCCTCGTGCGAAAATTCTGTTGTGGGACGAACTTCTGCGCCGCGATCTCCTCTGCTTGCGCCCCATACTACGCTTGCGTCTAGTTTATATCTGTTTTTTCTACCATTTTCAAATCACGTGAATTCCTTTTGATTTCGTTGACACATTATGCTTCAATCTTCACGCGAGCGAACGCAACAGTCACCAGTTTTTTTTTTCGCATTGCTGCATTGTTCAACCTTCAGGCTCGCAAACGAACAGAGGGGATGGTTTTCATAATTAAGCACATAGCTCCTTTGTGCTGATTCACCCTTGGCGACAATGTCCCCAATGTTTCATGGCTGACACCCCGTTTGCCGCGTGGAACAATGTCGCGGGCGGGCGGGAGTAAGGGGGTCCGGGATGCATAAGCAATTTTTTTTTTTCAGGGATTCACCTCCATGCATTGCTTATAATACACTTACTAACGGCTTATAATACACTTACTAACGACAGGCTCACTTTGTTTTCTTCGGTATAATTTTTTAGTATTTCTGTATAATCGTCATCACTCTTCAATAACCCGTTACTTTTGATCGCGGATACGTTAAAGGCACACTCCGGGATTGTGCGGGCTCGCCTGTTCCATCCGGGGTAGTAGGCAGGTGGACAAGTGTTGATGTCGCGCCCCTTTTGCCGCTTGAAAGTGCGCGACAAAGGCGCAAGGAGCTCGTCCGACCCGCAACTCACACCTTCGTCCGCAAGCCCCACCCTCCGCTGTCGGTTGCCACGTGGCGCTGCTTGAAAAGCGCGGGCGCATTTGAGCAGCGTCATTGGCACTGGAGCAACTAGAGTTAGGTTCGTGAAACTCGTCCAACGCGCCCCTTCTCTATCCCAAGGTGGAATGCGGCTGAAATAGGGGAGGTCTCTGTGCGGGGCGTAATCGGTGGTTTCGTTTGCTTTCCTTCTCTTTTCCAGACCACCTCCCACCTCTAGCTTCATAACTGAACGCTTTTCCACACCTATTTTATCCCGAATCTTGCCTTTAATGCATATGGACAGTTTTGGATCATGAGGAATAATGAAACGAGTAAACGAGTCTCATCTGTGCGAGAATGTGAAGCACTGTCATCAGTGTGTTAGCATCTAGATGTTTATTGTAAATCTTTTATTTTGTCATCCTTCATCAGTTCCACAAATTGGCAAGACAATGAAGTTCGTTTGGGTAAAAGGCGAAATAAGCCATCCTCTTACAGGGTGGTTACAAAGTATGATCCGGTATTCATTTGCATGTAAAAAATAAATAAGATGCACTTCTTCAAATTTTGTCAAATGGTAAGATTTAGATACAGGAACATTTACTCGAGGTACTGTTCGAAATGAC